ATGCACCAAGAGGAGGAGTTCGATCTGATTCCAACCTCGACTTCCTGGGGAGTTTGGCATCTCAGGTGGATACCATTGTCTGGGCCACCGTTGACTCAGGGGCAGCAACCAGTTGCCTACCCAAGGAATTGGCACAGTCATTGGAGTTGGCTATGACACCTGTGGATGAGAAGCCGTTCGCCAACGCATCAGGGCAGCCAGTCCAGGTGCATGGGGTGTGCAACCCTATGGTGACAATGGGTGAGAAAGGAGGCCCACAAGTCAAAGGTGTGGGACAGTTCCGGGCAATGGATGTTGCAAAGCCATTGTTGTCTGTGTCCAAGCTGGTTGAGAAAGGCTGGGCAGTAACCTTCGGCCCCAATGGATCGTTTCTGCAAAGGGGAGCCAAGAAGGTTCCAGTCACCATGACTGGAGGTGTTTTCAAGATAGCCATGGATTTTCATGGGCAGCCCACAGAAGGGTTGAAGGCGTAAGTCCTGTGGAGACCACAGAGAGCGCAGGGAGTGGAGATGATGAACCGGGCAGTAGTAAGCTAGGTTCTCAAGCGCTACCAACTGCAGCAGCGCCGACGCAGAGAGAAAAAGAAGAGCATTTTGTCAGCCATTATCCTTTTAGGAGTTGGTGTGAACATTGCATTCGAGGTAAGGCAAAGGCAATGAGACATGTCAAAGTAGATCATTCAGATGAAACAGTTCCTGTGATCTCAGCTGACTATTGTTTCATGAATTCAGTGGATGACACTGTCATCACAGAAGAAGTGCAGAAAAAGCATGCACCAGTTTTGATAGTACATGATCGATGGTCCAAGTTGACCTACGCACACGTTTTGCCATACAAGGGAGTTACCCAAGGTCCTATTGGATCTAAGTGTCTTTTGAATGACCTTAAGAAGTTTGGGTACCCCAAGATGGTCATGAGGTATGACCCGGAGCCTGCACTCAACTCCGTAGTTGAGGCAGCCAAGAATGGTTTTGACAAACAGTTGGTTTTGGAAAAAGTTCCCAAAGGAGTCTCAGAATCCAAAGGGGAAATTGAAAGAGCAGTTCAAGCTATTGAATCTCAATCCAGGACACTCAGAAGTGCCTTGGAGACAAGCTATGGAAGAAAGGTGCCAGACGACCACCCAGTTTTGACATGGTTGGTTGAACATGCTAGCACCACTTACAATTTGTTTCACAGATCATTGGAAGTCAAAGATGGGAAGACACCGTACTCTAGACATCGTGGTCGTGAGTGGAGAGTGTCATTACCACCATTTGGGGAAACAATTGAATTCCTCAAAAGAGGTCACAAGTTTGAACAAAGATGGCACCAAGGAGTTTTCTTGGGAGTCAAAGACAATACCACTGAAAAGATAGTGGGGAATGCATCAGGTGTTTTCACTGTGCAAAGCATTCGACGCAAGAGTGCTGACGACAGATATGATGTCTAAACGTTGATGTCAGTCACTGGGGTTCCTTGGGATCCCCAGGCATCAAAAAGAGATGACATTTTGCTTCCTCAGATTGTTGAGGGAGATCAGCAGCCACTGGCGCCATCAGTGCCAGTTGAGCCACCAAAGAAGTCGACAAGACGACTTTACATCACCAAACGTGATTTGGACAAGTATGGCTACACCGCTGGTTGTGTCGCCTGTGATGCCACTAGAATTGGCAAAAGAGGCACTGGAGTTCATCACACTCCAGCCTGCAGAGAAAGGATGGAACGTCTGCTTCAAGCAGAAGAGGGCAACCTGAGAGTAGCCCAACATACGGCCAAGGTTGATTCTGAAATCACTGGTCAGAAACAAGAAGTGTCCGAAGAAGGCACAAAGATTCTTTATGGGTATTCAAGTGAGAAACCACAAGAAGTTCCTCACGGTTTTAAGGTGTTTGCGCGCCTTGACAAGAATGCAAGGTATCTCAAGGGTACTGTGCCAGAAGGTCCCAGTTGGGATAATGTCTGGTGGAGAGTCACCAGAGATTTCAAAACAGGAAACATTATCAAGTCTGAACCAATGGATCCTAGTTTAGGAGATGAAGTCATCAACGCGCCTTTGATTGATGACGCAGATATCGTCACTGAACTGTGGTACTCAGCCGCAGGGGAATCTGCTCCAAGTTTGCCAACAGCTGGACCTGCTATCGCGAGGCAGAGTCCTGCTACCGGACAAGCTGCAGATCCACCTGCAGAAAGCGCAAGCGCAGGCACAGCCTCAGCCAAGAGGGCAGGAGGCGAGCAAGAAGAAAGAGCACACAAAAGGTTGGAAATGTCTCCAACCAAAGGTCGGAAAAGACCTGCAGACTCAGGAGGCGAAACGTCAAAGTCCAAGGACAGCCGAGCTGTTTCAGCTCAGGCGTCTAAGGGCACCAAACGGCCACCTGAGAATGAGAGACCAGAAGACATGGATGACATAGACCAATGTCTTATGAACCTGATCATGGAAGATCGGGAGAAGTACCTTCAGTCCATTGAAGGTGAAGAAGAGCCAGTTTGTGAAGAGACAATTCTTCTTCCACCAGAACTGGAAGATGAAGCAGCCACATGGTATTATTACGATGATATCAGTGGAAAGATTTTAGACAGCAAAGGTGTAGAACAAGCCAGAAAAGATGAGGTCGAAATCATCGAAAGTTTTCCAGTTTGGGAAAAGATTCCCAGACACAAGATGCCCAAAGGGGTACGCACCATTGGAACACGATGGGTAGATGTCAACAAGCAGGATGAAGAGAATCCACTTTATAGAAGTAGGTTAGTAGCTCAAGAAGTCAAGAAGGGCTCAGGTTTTGATGAGTTCTTCGCAGCTATGCCCAGTTTGTCGGCTTTGAAGATGCTAGTTACAATAGCCGTCACGTTTCAGTTGCCAGACGCTGGAAAAGCTGTCAAGGAAGCCTATCGCAAGCGTAGACTTCTAGGATTTTTGGATGTGAAACGCGCCCACTTTTACTCAGATGCGACGCGTGAGATCTATGTGGAACTTCCTGCAGAAGCAAAGAAGCCTGGAGAAGATGTGGTAGGAAGATTGCTCAAGTCTTTGTATGGAACCAGAGACGCACCTCTCAACTGGGAGTTGCAAATACAGAAGGTTATGTTAGCCTTAGGATTCAAGCAAGGAAAAAGCAATCCATGCATTTACTACCATGCAGGCCGAGACCTCAGAACTGTTGTACATGGAGATGATTTTACAACAGCCGGAACATTTGACAACATCAAATGGCTTCATGAAGAGCTGTCGAAGAAGTGGAAATGTGTGGAACGTGGTATTTTAGGACCACCAGGAACACCAAACACCATCCAGGACATCAGAGTCCTGAACAGAATTATCACATGGAAGGAGAATGGAATTTGGTGGGAACCAGATGCACGTCATGCAGAGTTGGTGATTGATTTACTCGGAGATGGTCCCCGAGGAGCCAAAGTCAAGACACCACTTGCCAAGGGTTCAGTGGAAGACCTCAAGAACGCCACTGTTTTTCTCAATGATGAAGAAGCAACCCAGTACAGATCAGTTGCAATGCGAGCAGCTTATTTGGCACAAGATCGACCAGATCTGCAAGTAGCGACAAGATCTTTAGCACAAGGGCTACAACGACCAACTACCAGCCACATGCTTATGCTCAAACGAGTTGCACGATACCTCAGGTATCGACCACGCATGGCACAATTCTTTCCTCATCAGAGCAAACTCAGTCCATTTGTGATGTGGTCTGATGCTGACCACGCTGGTTGCGTGAAGACGAGGAAGAGCGTGTCAGGAGGCGTCCTGATGGCCGGAGGTTGTTGTATCAAGACTTACTCTAAAGGACAAGGAGTAGTCAGTCTTTCGTCTGGAGAGAGTGAGTATTACGCTCTTGTGAGCAGTGCCAGCAATTTGCTGGGAGAAGTTTCAACCGCCAAAGACTGGGGTTTGCAACCCGAGAGTGAAGTTTTCATGGACGCAAGTGCAGGAATAGCAATGGGTTCTCGCAGAGGACTAGGCAAGGCCAAGCACGTGGATACTCAATACCATTGGGTACAAGACCGCGTTGCCAAGCGCTATTTTCGGCTGAAGAAGGTCGACACTGGCGATATGCTTGCCGACGTCTTGACGAAACCTGTCATAGAAGAGAAAATGAATAAAGCCTTGCGAAATATGAATTTTCACTTTCTGGAAGGTGAGCATCACCTGACACTGAGAGCATAGATGGCTTGAGCGTGGCTATGAGTAGCTGTACATATCAAAACTCGCCTAGTTCAAATAATTGGACGGGAGCGCCGTTTTTAAACAGGCTCGGGAGGCGTGATCAGATATGTGTACAGTGTGGACTATGTCACATGTAGCATATATGTTTGTATATGTGCTGCAGCCATTTTAGTGCTTTCAGCTACCTTCGAGCTGACTGAGTGAAAAGGTGCTGATCAGTGTTCAGGAGTGTTCATCAGATTTACGAGCCCAAATTCTCTGTTCATTGAAGCAGAAATTATGGCCAGTAACGGGAAGTACCCCAAAGTAGGTTCATTTCCAGTGCGGGATTTAGCAGAACTTTTCATGGAATGTGCTAGTTCAGAATTGCTCGGCTCGTGTATTCTGAAAGTTCCGGATACTGCATTACAGATAATACTACCCTCTGGTAATTTAACATAGCTATTGAAAATCACCATTTATAGTGGATTTTCCCATTGAACATGGTGATTTTCCATAGTTATGTTAAATTACCAGAGGGTACATTATTCTGGAACATTGCTGGATTGCAACAGAACAACCATCTGGTATAAATATGGTTATCCCTATTGCAATCCTTGACGAAACGTTTGGTTCGTAAAAAAATGTTGGAGCACTCCCATGAAAAAATCCACTAAATCCAACTAAGTCCGATTAAATCCCACTAAGTCCCATTCAATTCCATTACCATCTGGTTATTTAACATAGCCATGGAAAATCACCACTTTTAATAGGTAAACCCAGGTAAACCATCTATTTCGATTAGGGCCATCTATGGCTATGTAACAAATAACCAGAGGGTAAATCCCCAACTTCGTCCAGGTAGAGGCTCACAAGTCTGCCCAGAAGAAGATCATCGAAGCTTATGACCCGCACAAGGCCAACGTCCGGCCCAGCCTTGGAAACTGCACTGCGAAAAAATAGAGGTGTTGAGTGTTTGTCATGAGATTTCGGGGTGTCTGAAAATGAGGTATATATCCGCCAATCGAGGTGTTTTGATGAGATTTGGGTGTAAAAAAGAGGTATATACCCTCCAAATGACCGGTTTTAATGGGGAGAATGATGATGATACTCCGTGGGAATTGTGGGTACCATATTTTCAAACAAAGCCGTTTGTACTTGGGATTCTTTCAGCATAACCATTTTTTTTGGCGATATGTTTGAAGGATCATTTCGCGTCAGGTTTTTTTTTTTGCAGGACATTCAGAGACCTCTGACAGGAAAAACAACAAACAATACCATTTGTCAATGATTTTTTGATGACACATATCATTTTCAGCGATTTCACCCTGCCGCACGATTTCTAGCTGTAGAAAAACCCATTCGTCTTGAAATCGAGCGCCTTTTGCAGCCTCCAGTCCTGGACCTGGTGCCAGGACCCCAATGCCAGCGGAGATCCCTTCAAGACGCTCTTCGTAGGACGCATTAGCTCGGAGCCCCTGAGGGGCCCCAGGGTGTTGTGCCCCGGAGATCTGCATCTGGCAACAAAAAACGATGGTTTTTGTGAAGGGAACCATAGGAGTTTTCTTGTCTTCAAGATTTTTTCAGTTTCACTTACATACAAACATGAACTTGTCTTAACTTGTGCAACGAGAGAGACCTAGGAAGATAGAAGGGAGCGGAATGAAAAGGAAACGACGAGGTATGAACCCAGCAAGTCTGCTTGACTTTTGAGTGAGTTCGGTTTCTTTCTCCCTGAGCATCGACTTCTGACGGATCTAAATAAAACATACTAAATTTCCTTAAGATCGCTGGCACCTACCAACCTGTTGGATGTTTTGAGATCCTGAAATGCCGTGCCAGCCGCTGAGGTTATGACACCACGGAAAAGAAATTGAAACGTGAGTTCGAGGTCTTTGGAAGCATCAAGAAGGTGGGCTGTCAAAAATAGGGTTTCAACATGCTTTAAACCTAACAAATGACTATTGGATATGGGGGTGTCTGAAAATGGTCGATGAATCATCAGATGGATGAGTTTTCAAGGAGTGGCATTCTTGCCACATCTTTTGAATTGGGATTCGAATTCAATGATGAAAACTGCAAAGTTGCTGATTTTTTTTGTCTTTCAACGTTTTCGTCAGCACTTGCTGATCTCTTTTGGACGGCCCTGCGCAGCTAGCTTCATGACACCAGCTTTAACAGAGAAAAAAAAATCAAACACCTAATCACCAAAAAATAACCATCAGCAGAACAAACATTTTTTTCTTGTTGCTTTATGGTTTTTATAGAACCCTATATATTCTCTGTGCTGTTGGACCCATAAAGCTAGCTACGACTTGAAACTCGGCGATAACCCCATCTAACTGATGCGCCACAGCCATTTCTATGTTTAAACTCTATATACTATACGTATAACTGATGCATCAACTCCACATACCTTCGGGTGGTCAAACATAGCGATTGTAAGTATCATTGTTTGCTGGATATATGTACATACATAGTTTTACAAGAGATACATTTTTCCATTGCCATGTCGAAATACCAGCTGTTCATCAGGGTAGTTCCAATAACCTCGTTTTGCATCGCCAGCGCCAAGCCAGGTGCGCATGGTCTACGATCAGAAGGGAAAACCCCGAGGCCCAGTTTCAGTCTGAGTCCGTGGGGAGTGATCCTGCGGGTGGGGGAATGAAAGGGCCCACATATTTTATTTTCATTTTATTGGAGAATAGTGTGTATGGCAAACTTGCACAGGTTTTATTATCACGAACTGAAGTGGAAAAAGGGATCCAATCAACAGACAAGTGACTGAAAAAGCAAAAATGGGGATTGAATCTGCAAACACGAGGGTCTAATCGACAAATATTCACTACCAAACCTGCAGGGGTAGCCAAGAAGGAATGCAACACAAAACCGAGGTTTTAGGGACGTTTTCCTCCAGCATTGAAGCAGCATCCTGGCCCCTTGAATTTCTTCCAGGCTACGCATTTATCGAGTTTGAGCACGAGCGCGATCTGAAGAATGCATACAAACAGGGCGATGGTAAGAAGATCGATGGTATCTTGGTGTTGCTCAGGGGGGTTCTTTCTTTAGGGGCCATACGCCAGAATGTGGTTTTGGGATGAAAACTCAGATTTTTTTGAACGAAAATGGGCTGATCCTAAACACCAGCATTATCTGCTTTCACAGGGACCCCGGTTGGATTTTTTGATGCCAACCTTCTTTTAGGACGATTCCCAAAGGACGGACTTTCATGCTGGTTGCATGCAACTATTGAACACTCTGCGGCTGAGGTGATCCTTGGCATTACCCCATTTGCAACTGGGAAATAACCTTCAATAACCTTGGTTTAATGAACTAATCTTTGACCACTGGTAATTGATGATGCCTACCAATGTTGTTGGTTCACACTTTTTTTTTTTGCGGCAAAAACACTCTATGCAATGGTTGATTAAGACCACCTGCACTACTTCGATGAAGATCGTAAAACCAAAAAATAGTTGTGCTATCTCACAAAAGCCCAGTGTTGGAGAGTCATACCCGCTGTTGTTGTTAAAGATTTGATAAACCAAGTGGTATCTCAATCTGGGGGTGAACGTAGGTATAAGCAAACACATACATAGATATATACAGTATACAGTCTACATTTGATATAGGCACATATACGAAAAAAGATCATGCACATGTAACATAGATGAAGATTCAACATAAAACATTTAATGTATATAAATCAACATACACATACATACATTACATTACATTACATTACATTACATTACATTACATTACATTACATACATACATACATACAACATACGTACGTACGTACGTACGTACGTATATACATACAGTATTAAATACGTACATACGTGAAATTGTATATTCATCGATATAAACACCCAAGAAATGGCATCTCTCTCAGGTCGCCGTGTCATGGTGGACGTGGAACGTGGTCGCACCGTGGAGGGGTGGCTGCCACGACGTCTCGGCGGGGGTCGAGGTCCTGGCCGCCAAGGTGTGGGTCTTTGGGAGCTGGGCTTGGGGTGAAAATTGGGGATTTCACCGGGAAAAATGGGAGATTTCATGGGATTTCAGTTGTAAAGATGAGGGATTTCGCTGATTTAAGCAAGAAACTTGGGGATTTTTAGAATGAACAATGGTGATTTTACCAGAAAAACCAACCGTACTGGGTAAGCCCAGTGGGGATGTATTGGAGTAACAAGGGATAGAAAATAGACACTGTTTTTTTGTTTGATGGAGAACATTACGATTAACCAGTGGATTTTGTGATGGCCTGTGTTTGGACAAACTAATTTTTGCAGTTTTCCATGTATCTTCTGGTAATCAAACATAGGAGTGCGAAAATCATTTGTAAATGGGGAAATCATCGGCGCAATTTTCTTTTTGCGCGTAGCGGTTTTGAATGGGGATTCAGGTCCGGCTTTTCGAGTGGGTTGAATTCACTTTGATGATTGTTGATTGCTTTTTGTGCTTGATTCCTTTCTTGGTTATTAGATCCCAAGTTGTTTTGGTTCAGGTTTTGATTGATTTGTGACTTTGAACTATCAACAAGGATAACACCAATTTCTGAAATATATCATTTGGTGTTTTTATTTTCTCCCAAGGATAATTTTACCAAACACGCAACCTCCAACTTCGGAGTTAAGATCCCCATTCTTGTTTTTTTTCCCTTTTATATAGATGATGATAAAATCAATCTCATACTTCATGTGATTCTTTCGCCTGTGCCAGTCAACAAAGTCCTGTTTCCCATCCTTCCTTTCATGCCCAGCTAATACAGACGTCAAGAAAAAACACAAGCGCTGGGTCCCTTTGTCTTTGCATTTTTTTTTGTCTTTCTTCTATATACCCGTTCTCTGTTTCCCAGAATTGGTTTCACTGAACACTTGCAGGAACCCCCTATGCATTTGGGGTAAAGTAACCATGATTTCCACCGTAGATTTTCCCTGAAACCAGTCCATTTATGATCATCTTGGGTGATTCAATCGTAGTAAATCCCCATCAACTGAGTGGTTAAATCCCCTATGAAGTCCTGAGTTTACACGTAAATTCCCATAAATTGCATCAAGTTCTATGTTGTTGCAGTTGCTGTTGTTGATTTCCTTCAACATCCCAAGTCTCCTGCCCTAACCTGAGCGGAAGGCAAACCAGCCAAGAAGAAGCAGAGGCGACTGGCTGAGACGGTTGAGAAGGCCAAAGAGAAGGAAAAAGAGGCACAGCATGGGAGAAACTCTGCAGACTCTGGGTACTTGGAGGATCATCGGAAATCCGATTACTGGTGGGTTACAACTTACCAAGTTATGGATGGGATAGTTCAGTTCGGGGACATTCTACCCAGGGTTATTAACCACTAAGTGGGATGATCCTCCGAGACAACCCAAGAGCAATAAGGCTTTATACAACTCTAAAGAGTTGGCATATTATAGGGACTCTGCCAAAAAAAGTGGGGATATTGGGGTTTAAACCCAAAAACCTTTGTTTTCGGAGGTATTCTTAAAAAATGGATTCACTATCCACGGTTGGTGAGGGGCCTTGGGAATATGCTGAGATAATCTGAGTCGGGTCAACGTTCACCAAGCATAGGATAATGTTTCAGTTGTTGTTTTTTATCAGCCGCTTCCACGGGGATACCTTTTAGGTCCAGCTATTCTTTTTGCAGGGTATCTAAACTTCGCCAGAATTCATCCCAACTGTTGCTGGTTAGCAAGGGAGCTATCTTTCCAGTTGGTGCCGTTGCAAATGGATCTTTAAACAGCTGTTCGCCCTTTCACTACATCACCGGTCAACATTTTAGGTCCTGAGAGTCTTGAAGATTGCACATTTCGAACATCGTAGCATTGTACAACCAATCCAATGTTCGGGTACTCCATTTTGAGCCCAGATGCAAATAGCTAAGGTTTTTTGGTCCAAATTGAGCACCTTAAAAGTGGATCACCTATGCTATGGATGTCAAGCGATTGGTTGTTTCTGAGTTCTTGAATTTTGACTCAGAAATCCCATTGAATTTGGGACCTGCAAAAGTCCACTCCGTAATGCTCTATTTTCGGGGGGAGGTGGCCAGACAATTTTTTTTCTCCATACTCAAATTGCGAAATTGAATCAAAGAGCATCACATGATTCTAGACGCAAATGTGTTGGAGAAATGTTTGAGGCATTTAGACTTCCTTGGGCTGTACAGTGATATCTCACATGAAGGTTGTTTTGGGATATATCGGATACCATTTGAATTTAACGCTTCCATCAAAGGATCAAAGTTCAGATGACCATTTCACCGCTAGGAGAAGGCTGAGAAGAAAAAGGACAAGGAGAAGGAAAAAGAGAAGGAGAAGGAAAAGGACAAAGGCAAGGAGAGAGACAAGGCTGGAGTTTCCCGCGGGAAGTGTGGGAGGAAACAGGCTTTCTACTGGGATGAGCATTCCAGTTGGTAAGTGGCCAGGAACCATCAGGAACCACCGGAGTTGATGAACTTACGGCGGTTCCTGACCTTCCTGACCAATTGCCAACTGGGATCTAATCCTCCAAGGCCCAGGTCATCAGGTCAGCCTGTCCCGCCAGTGCGCACAGGAATTTCTTCTGCAAAGAGATTCGGGTAGGCTGGTAGGCTGGATGTTTCCATTTTTGTTGATAAGTTTGGCTGCTGTGCCCATTTCATCCCCATCCTAAGTGGTGCTCCTGGTTGCTGACTCAACTGCCCAACCACTCCCGGAGATCTTAACGATAATCCACACTTGAGAGTAGCCATAGTGTCACAGCCATGTGCTTGAGGTGCTTTTTATTCACAATTTCCATGATGAGGCTACCGAACTCTGTCGGGAATCTTTTGCAGTGAGGGGCCAATAACAAGTGCATTTATAACCTTCGTCCAACTTGTAGAAAAGGTTCAAGTTGGGGGTATGATATCCAAGCCCATTTGTACCAGGTAAATTGTCGCACCTTCAGCAGATCCAGGTGATTTTCCAGGTAAACGGGTGGGTTACTGCAAATTTCCCACCCTGCGGTGGGGGTCTCTTGGTGGCTGAGGAGTGAAACTCAGCACAGGTGCACAGGCAGTTGCAGTTGTTTCCTCCCTCTTGACAGGGCTTAGGGCTTGCCGCTCGGGAATTCAGAGCTTCAAAGCTCTTCCCATCGCGAAGTCACGAAACTGGCCTGGAATTCAATACATGATGAAGTGGTAAGTCAAGTGAGCTTCCGAAGTAATCGACCCCAAATTTTGGGAGGCCCCACAGCTTGAAAAGAATTGACAATATTCCTGTATAGATACATATATATATATATCATAATGTAGTATTATACATAGATACATACATTTTGTGCATATCTATATTTTTGTATATGTACATGTATTCATGTATATTAGTGTATATTAGAGTATATCAACGCGTATTAACGTACATTAATGTACATCAGTGTATATGAAGGTATATTAATGTGCATTGATGTATGTATTACTGTACATGAATGTATATGTACATATATATATATATATTTTCTCATCTATATTTATGCACATTAGTGTCTATTAGTGTATATGTCTATATATGTAGATATATATATATGTTTCTAGATTGTATATGACTATTTATTAGTGCATATCATGTTTATCTTATATTTTTTTGTCTATACATCTATCTATATACTATGTATGTATTAATATTTAGATGTGTACATGTATACGTATAATGCATATATATATATACATACATGTATTTAAATACATTCACATATGTATAGATATATAGTATGTATATATGTAAAATGATCATCGACTCTCACTGTTCCAGGACGAGGATCGCAAGGAGCGCGGCCGTGAGAAGGAGAAGGACAAAGAAAAGGAAAGGTCGCGAGAGAAGGACCGAGAGAAGGACCGAGAGAAGGACCGAGAGAAGGACCGAGAGAAGGACAAGGAGCGAGACAAGGAAAAGAAGGACAAAGACAAGGAGCAAAAGGAGATGGGGATTATAGTCATTTAACTGTCATTTAACTATCAAACTATGCGGACATAAGTGGAACTGATAAACCATCCCCAGTGACTTACCGTTTTTATGGGGATTCAAACCATCAATCCAAAAAAGGGTGGTGAATTTGACATGGATATTTACCAACACTAAGAAATAAGCCAAACATGAGAATTTCACCATCAAAGAACATGGAGATGTTTAAACAAAAACCAAACAGAAAAAGTTGAAACAGCAAAGAATATGGGGATATTGCGCAGCAAAGAATGGGATTTCAAAGAAACAAGCAAACATAGGGACTTACCAGGACCAACAAGCGATTTATCCGACGATAATTCTGGCCAAGAATCAGGATATATGAGATTACTCAGTTCAAATCAGTAAACCACGAGAAATTCTTCCTGGTTTTTCGAGGATTGTTTCACAGAGTTGCTAATCCTATGGCCGTGGTTGAAAAAACATATGAGTAATATGAGCCACCGACATATGATTGCTTCTTCACAGCAAACACGGGAAATTCATGGCTTCATAGTGATGGGTTGACAGGCATTATCGTGACCATTCATATTAATGTCACCCCTGGTCTGTTGAATTCGGGGGGTTGAAAGATGCGGGGTATCACTTTTGGGGAAGCCGTGGAAGCAAATGATTCATCCAACATTCATCCCCAAACTTTGACACACTGATGTAAACAGTGATGGCTAAACCCCTGTTACACACTTGCTGAGGATGGTTTATAGTTGGTTATACTACCCCTCTGATTATTGTAAAATGGGGATTGTTGTCATTCATCAGCGTGAATCCCTTTTTTGAGCAACGCGGTTGAAGGCACACGCAACGATGGGGATACCCCTATATACTCGGTATGCCAATATTGGGAGGCAACCAACAATATAGCAATGTTGTACAACGATGTACAACGGAAGAACAGAGCAGCGTATGTAATATCATAATCTCCGATGGTAGCCTTTGGTAATTGAACATAAACATAGCTATGGAAGGTCACCATCCAAACAAGTAACTGATCCAACAAAATGGGTCATCTATACCATAGCACAGCGTTAAACATTTCCAGAGCGCCAGGTGTTTCTTTGGACCAGTAAACCTGGGGCTGGCCGAAGCGGTTTGGGTAGGGCATTATGATGCTGGCAAACGATCCATTCCGCAATCAATCAATCAAATGGATGTGGGTCAAAATGGAAGACCTAGGGGACCACAGATGTTAGTCTAGTTTAGTATTAACCATCCAATTATTGGGGTACCTAATTTTGACCCATACCCAAATCACTCAATCAACCAATCAATCAATAAATCAAGCAACCAATCAACCAAATCAACCAAATCAACCAATCAATCAACTAATGATTCCATCCGTAAATGTTGTAGATCTACCCATAGTGCTTTTGGGTTCAGTCCCAACTCCCGGAGCTTCCCCATTTTTGGGTTCACCCTAGTAGTTGGATATTCTATGATCATCCATGATTGTTCATGATCAAAATAGCATTCTGAATGATGATAATTATTGTTAATTATTGTTATATTGTTCATTGATGAACATGATCATTCTCCCTTGCCAGGAGCGCAAGCGCGAACGCTCCCGCAGTCGCGATCGCGACCGCAGGAAGTAATGGCGCAGGTGGGGTCGTGTTGAAACTTCCAATGGTGGTGGCTCGGGCCCATGGGAAATTGATGGGACGTTCACCAACGAAATAAATTTTGAGAATTCTATCCCCACATTTTTTTCTTTATTGTGGATGATGGTGTTTTCCAGGGGATGAGACCTCAGAACAACCTGAAATTATGGTTGGTAAGGGGAATCACCGAATCACCCGGAAATGACTTTGGAAAATGGAGGGTTGAGCAAGCGGTCATTTGGTTTCCAGGTTGGGTCATGAAAGGCATGAGTCATACAGAAATGTGCGGTTTTCGAGACTGTTTAATTTGTACGTCTCAGGTTTGTAAGCCCAAAAGTTGTCCAAAAAGGTATTCAGACATGGCTGGCTGGAAAGTCATTCATTTGTAGATGATTTTCGATTTGAACATTGTGAATTTCCATTGCTAAATTTGTTTCCCAGATGGTATGGATCGTCGCACCCCCCGAAAGCGGTGCGGTCCTGCGGCCCATCGAGGGAATCTCACTACAGCAGTCAGAATGGGCACTATTTGTGTTCCCCAAAAGATAGAAGGGTCCTTCCGTACTATTTGATAGTGGTTGTTTGTTCTATCTTTCTGGGGACTCCTACAGGCATTTATTTGCATCAACGCTTCTAGCATTGTATTTGTATGTCAAATAAGACATGTGCATCACAGATGCTTCAAAATTCGGAAACCATCAATCTACTGATTGAATATTCTAAATATATATATATATATATTCATCTACTCATCTATGACTGTTTATAACGCAGCCTGCATAGATGGTGCTTCTGAATCGCGGATCTGGGCTGGCGATGAAACATGGAAAAACCATGGCGAAACCACAGGTTCATGAAACTACAGTACATGGTTCATGATACATACATTACTCATAATTGGACAACATAAATCTGGTTTCGAAACTACAATTTATGCGCGCAAATAGTGGATGTGATCCGATCTTTTGGCGTTGGTTAGTCGACCATGGCAGGTAGTAACGGGCGGCTGAGCGTGGGAGCACGGCAGTACCTCTTGAGAAAGTATTTCAGGAATGTGCACATCAGATCACTGGACTAGGTGGACATAGCCTTTCTGATGTCAAGATTGGATTATTATGGATTATACTTGTCCCGTTGTTTCTGTCCTTCGCAAGAGGACGTCGCATGTGCCAAGAAGAATCGGAGTCTCCTGGAAGGAGCCTATCGTGAGTGGAGATTCACCTGAAGGGTTGAAGGGCAACTGATGGACAAGCGCGGGAAAAGGAAGGCCAGTTTTCCACTGGGTGGGCACCCTAAGCCACTTGATGGATGTCCAAAAAAATCAACCGTCAATCTATGGGATCCATACAGGGAGCCGGTAGCCTACATAGATATTCACTGCTACTTGTCCAGCGGATGTCCTGATTCCGTGAGAATGTGGTGGCAGGAGTCTGCGCGTCGGCAGCTTCCCATATTATATTTGAAGACCAATCGAAAAGAATCAAGTTTCATGAGGTCTTGATTATCACAACACACATCACTTCTATATCATATCTTCTATATCATATAATATAGATTCATATAGTGTCTCTCTCTCTCTCTCTGCACATATATGATCATAGGTGTGTATATATACTGTATATATATACATATATATACACATACATTTATATGTGTATATATGTAATTAATTACAATTATATAGACATATTTATACACACAGGGCTTGTTCAGAACATCTCAATCCAAGACATCCAAGCAATTTGTGGGAACAGCAGTCGGCGCCGTAACAACACTGGGGCCTTGAGGGCACCGGTTTGGACATTGCGGGCAGCACTAAAAAGCCGCGCTCCCTGCTGTCAAGTTCACCTCGGCAGATGGTTTTTTTTGACCCAGGGGTTCAGGGCTGTTTGCCCGGGGTCACACAAGGGATCATATTGCCAAAGATGTTCAACATTTTGATGCACCAACGTGAAATGCTGTTGAAATGCTTCATGGAAGTCATGGTCGTCTTGACATGTCACAGCCTGGGCAGAAGTTCAGGCGACAGAGGTGTACGGTGTACGCTAAACCATGGCCTAGGGCTATCGCATCCCATAGCATCTCTTGGGTGGGTCAGTGGGTCCAAGATAGGGCGTAGATGGGTAAGGGGCTGAAGGCCCGTTAGTATAAAAATTGACGAAACTGTATGGGCCAAAGATCATTATTTACACGTGACTCCCTGAAGGTCCCCAACAATAAGGGTTTATCCAAGGCTTATTAGCCATTAACAACTAGGTTTACAAGATCTTTTTAAGCATGTATCGTTGGGAGGGTCGCCTTTGGGGGGGTTTGCCATACGCTGTTGGATATCGAACCTCTTTGGTGTTGTCAAGTAGTTTTTCTATTCAACCATTTGTGGGATGGTAATGATCCATTAATATATCCATTCATTTTCCATTCATTTTTAGTTGAATATCCCACAAATGGTTGATGGTACTGATATGATTTTTTTTGGTGAAACCACCAGCAAAGGTCAACCTGGGGCTTAACGGCTTAACCCAATCTTCCTGGCGAGGTCAAGTTGCCCCCTTGGGGCCAGTGCTTGGGCCCAGCAGCTGGTGTGACAGCCTTCACCATCATCCCACCCATGGGTATGCATGGAATCATATATTTGCAGTAGTATATCCACAGAATGATTATATAGTAATACTTGCAATGGTTCTTCATCATCATCATCATCGTCGTCGTCGTCGTCGTCGTCGTCGTCCTCGTCCTCGTCATCGTCATCGTCATCGTCATCGTCATCCTCATCATCATCATCATCATCATCATCATCAGCAGCAGCAGCAGCAGCAGCATCAGCATCAGCATCAGCATGAGCATCATCATCATCATCATCATCATCATCATCATCATCACCATCACCTTGCCTTGAGCTCAAACAAGTTTGCTGGAACAAACGCGTATTGGTCAAAACTAGGTCCCCTATGGATCCTGTTTAGTTCGAACGTTATCACAGCCTTGTGTTAAACCATCATGTTGTTTTTTTTCCCCCAATTTGAACATGTTAAACGTTAAACTATCACGTAAGTATTACAGTAATCCAAATCATTGATGGGTTCTTTGGTTGAACCAAATTCACTATGGTCAAGCCACTCCGAGGACGGAGCCGCTGCAGTGCCGGGGCCGGGAGCCACTGTCCATTTCAGATTAGGCTAGTCATGGGTTTCTGGTTCGTGAAAAAAACCAGCTAAAACGAGGAAAAATGCGGATTCACCATCAACACATGGTGATTCAACCCATCAAGAATTTGGATTTGTCCATAGCGAAACATGCGGATTTAATCGCTTTTGACCATGGGATATGATGGGGAGATAACCAATGTTCACCATGGTAATGGCGGTATAATCAACAAGAACTTACATGGTAATCGGTTTTATGTGTTATGAACCCGCATCCAATGCTCACCCTAGATGAAGCTGGACCGATACCACTTTGAACACGTGGCCGATATTTGTATTTGGAGATTGCCCGTTGATTTGGGCTTCCTCTCAGATTCTGCTAAACTCATTATCATATAGAACTTGAAGAAGTGCCTGGATATGTATATATATATACACAATGCATATACCATCATATACATATATACACGTTCGTATGCATGTGTATGTATATGTATATATATATACACTATATATATATATATATATACACACTATATATATATACACACACTATATATAGACGTCGATGTATTTGAAGTTCGGCGTCATGCTACTTAGAACCCGTTCAAGTTCAACTCACGATTCCTCCAGGTATTCACCATGTTTCGATTCACCAATCTTACTTACCAATCATTCCCAGCATTTCAATTCCATTTTTTCTCACCCAATATTACTTAATTAAAATATGTTTCAATCCAATTTTTTTCTGAAAAAAACTTGGGAGCTTCAACTTTTAAACCAATGTATGGTTGCTGACCGCCCTCCCCTCCATTTTTCGCTTCTTCAGGCTCTCGGCCCCTCCCTTGCCGCCCTTGGACCGTGCCGCTGGCAGCCTTGATGGTTCATCCTACTGATAGCCTCTAGGAATTTGTTGCGGTTTGCGAACTGGAAAATGCTCCCTCTATAGCTGATTTACAGATTTACCTATTAAAAATGGTGAACGTAAACTATTAAATTACCAGAGGGTTTTTCAGCAGGTTAAACAGGGGCAAGCCCGTCCAGTTAGGTCACTGGGCTTATATCCTCGGGGTGAATCACTATGAAAGCCAAGCTGATTCGGATTGTGGATTTCTGGTAATTTGCCAAGATGATATCCTTTCAAAATTGGTAAAAACTTAGTAAAAACCTATGAAAACGCGAGGTTCCTTTCGGAGGGGGAATGATTGGAATGCCGACATTTTAGCGTTTTCACCCCTGATTCACATGGGGATTCTATGGTCGAAACCGTGGGCTGCATCATGTTCATCCCAAACATATGGATGAATCCCTTGAGAAGCCAGCACAAACGCAAGGGGCGTTTCCCAAACCCAGCTGTTCCAACTGTTCCGGTCATAGTCCTGCCTCGTTCCGGTGCTCATTCCGCCTCGTTCCAATTGCATCTTGGGTCAGGTTATAGTTCCGGTCCGCATTCCGGCCCTTGTTCCGGTCCTCAGGTTGATCCTTGTTCTAAGTGTTGAGGTCATAGTTTCAGTCCTCATTCCGTTTCTTGTTGTTGCAATTGTTGAGGTGATGGTTCCGGTTCTTGTTCTGGTCGCGATTCTGGTCCTTGTTCGGTCATGGTTTGCAGATGCTGGGCTGGAGAGCAACTGGCCCATGGCCAGGTATACCAACATCACTGCCCGAGCATGTGATCGAGGACCTCGCTTGGTTTTGTGAGGGCGAACTTCCTGGTGTTTGAGAAATCTCTGGATTCTACTGTAACAGTCTAACAGTATTTTGGACTGAAGCGGGGGTCTGTTGAAGCCTAAGCATGTGATCGAACGAAAAGACATCACCTTGTTTTTCAATTTTTTGAACATGAGTCCCCGTCCGACTGTGATAAGGATCTGAACTCGCAGTGAATTTCCCAAGATTTTGGCAAGACACTTTTTTTTCCCTTAAAGGGTTTCAATCACGATTACAGCCAAGAATGGCCGAACATTTCAGCCATTCTCAGGCTAGTGCATTAGCAAGGGGAATCATCCAAAAATGGCGGCACGTTTCAACTATTTTCAGATTAGTGAGTTGTGAATTGCTACTTCTCCACCAGATATAGTAGGGCCATAAAGAACTAACAACAGTTATAGTGGAATATCATGGATATATCATGGATATATCATGGATATATCATGGATATATCATGGATATATCATGGATATATCATGGATATATCCGTGTGGCAGGCGAGGACTTCATCCGGAAGGTCGGTGGCACGAACCGAGATGGTGGAGGGTTTTTCCTAGGTCCTCAGTCATGGAGGTAGCCCCCACATCATCCTGGCGTCATGGACGACCATAGCTATTGAAAATGGCAATTTATAGTGGATTTTCACTAAAAATGGTGATTTTCCATAGTTATGTTAGTTTACCAGAGGGTACTGTACTGTTGAAAGCTATGGTGACTTTGGGGTCTTGCTGTTTGTTGAAAGCCCTCCTTTGGAAGCTCATATGGCCCCAGGTTCCATGTGTGATTTCGATGCTGAATATCTGTGTGCGTAGGCATGGGTATATCCTTAGAATCAATGAACTCCAAAATCCAATAAGTTCTGGCTGGCTATGATTGACGCTCCGCAGCCATTGGCTCCTTGAAACTCGCTAATCCATGGAAAACAAATTGCAGGATCCCATGCCGCGGGTTGGATCCCAGACAATCCTGGTAGCATGGACCAGTGCCCCAAAATGTAGAGGAGTTCTCCCTGGCAGTCTCACAGGTCTTCCACACAACTTCTCCAGGGCAGCGTGTGGCCCGAAACATTTGGCCAGTGACCAAGATTCTGCGCAACCCTGACGAAGGGTAGGTGAACATGGGTAGTTCTCCAGCCATCATTCGGACCATTATGTCCAGCTGGGAAAAAAACCGTTTGTTATGCAGTACATTTGAGGTTAGCCATGTGGGTATGGATCAATACCTATTAATACCATTTTTAGTGGGATGAACATCCATTTACCAGCTATTTTGATGTTCACCAGGGGTACAAGGTTTTGACACACTGCCATGTATCCCTAGCAGCAAAGCAGACATTGTGAGTGGGGCAAAATGCTGTGAACGACGGGCCGCTGCATTCCTTTGTGGGCTCGCAGGCCTAGAGGGGTTCGTGGAGCCTGGTTTCCAGCAGGGAAACATTGTGATTTCTGGGTCAAACGTGTCTGGTTGGTGGTTTCAACTACTTTTAAGATACATTTTGTGAAGCATACTTTGAGACCTATATTCTTTTAGAGGATGATTCCCATACTTTTTGATTATCCAATAGTTTGCAGATGACAAGTTTCACTCCCAGCTCCTGAACGTGGGGATGGAGGCTGCAGGCAATGACTGGCCAAAACCCTGCTGGATTGGTGCGGTACCGTTTCAAACATCTTCCAGACATGGGCGGTTAAGTATGATATATTCCATGACATTAATTACGTTTGTAATATTACGTAATCGCACTGTATTACTATTATAATTGCTAAATCATGATTATAATATTATTATTATTATTATTATTGTCATCACTATCATCATTATTATCATCACTACTATATCATCATTATCATCATTATCACCACTACTATATCATCATTATCATCACTACTATATCATCATCATCATCATCATTATTGTTGTTGTTGTTGCCACTGACTTTCAGATTTTGGGGGCTTGACCCAGCCAGGCTGCATGGATGAACTCCGAGCCGTCAGCGAGGATGAGGCGAAAAAATGGAGCAGACCTGGGGATGTAAGCCGTTGTTTATATGGCTTTAACATGTACATATATATATACATATGGTTGTTTATATGGGTATATGTATATATATATATATATGTATATATATATACATATATATATGTATATATATAATATATATATAACATATATGGATAGCCATGTAAATGTATACATAAATATCTATAAAAGGAACGGAAAAAGTACACACACACATATGTATATATATATATATACACGTATATACACGCATTATTGTTGAAGTCCCCTGTTATCGTACAATATCCAATCATCTGGTGATGGGTTGTGACCAATCAATACCAATCATACGAATGGGGTAATGAACATCAATGAAAACAAGCTCTTTTGGTATGAAGATCAAGGGATTCCATTTTTTTAACTCCATGCTCTCACAAAATTGGTTGGTTCGGGAATATCACATGTATTTCTAGTATATACCTTGAATCAGTGGAAAAGATAATTGATCGACTATCACCATGCTTCAGTGAACACCCAACGTAAACACCGTTGTCCTCCCATACGCTTTCTATATTCACAGGTAGAGTAACTCTCAAAAGGATAGAACATATAAACTTGTTATTTCCTACATATTTTGAGAGGATCATACTTCTCTATCTTGTTTTTTGGGTTGCAAACGACATGTAGTGGCGCACCATCGCTACCATGCCCTCGCAAGGCGGCCCAGATGCCGAGTTGGATCTTCACCTTCTGGAGGTGTGTCTGATGGGTTTCAAACCGATGGAATGAGAACCACCTATTTTCAGGGCCAAGTTGTTTCACATTTTTTTATTGCTTCAAAAACATCTTTTTTTTCCATGATTTTCTGAGATGATGAACGGCAAAGAGCCCACTAAATGGGATGTCCACTGTTCACCCCCCTCCTTTTTGCTGCTAAAACCTAAGTTTTGCTGGTATTACGCACCACTTCTTGCTGGTTAGGCACCCAATTTGTGGTTCAATCCCAGCCCAGTTTTCCCAGCAAAGGTCCATGTGCAATGAAGGCCGCAAAGAGGACGGGGCCGGGCCAGTGAAGGTTCGGCGGCTGGTTGGATATTGGGGTTATAACCCAGTGATAAAGAGAGGAACCACCAAAAGATAGAAGAGTTATATACCATTATTTTACTGGGATTCCATTTTCTGCCTTTTTGGGGGTGGCCAAAAAGGATAATCGGGTAATGCCACGAACTGGGGCCTTACAATCCAGAACTCCTCCACCACTGCTATACTGGAGGAAGTGGTGTATAAGTTCTCCACTCTTATGAATTGATATCTCCATTCCTGACATTCCTGGTTGAATTCCTGGTTTGTTCCCCACGGGGGCTCCCCAGGTTCACATCCAGGACACCACAGGTTTTGGTCGTCTAGTACTGTTGTACTTGCATCATCTAGCATCATCCCATGCTTGAGTATTCAACATCGACACATTCCTACATATGCCTTATTTGTAGAAACACATAAACACATACGCAACCACAAACACAAACATAGACAGAGACAGACAGAGACAGAAATATCCAGAAACCAGGCGTGAGTCGACACGGAAACCGATGGTTGCAATGGAATCCATGGCCAAGAGCTGTCAGGAAACGGCCAAGAGCTATGCACGCACCTTTGCAATGCTCTTCAGAGAAGATCAAAAGGCGAGGAAAGAAACAGCTGCTTTGAGACCACACTTACAGAAGGCATTAGAGCCACGATGAATCCCTCAATCATTTCTGCGATGTCTTGAGGATGTTTTGGTGTGAACCGCACTTGTACTAGTACAGCTGGCCTTACAACATCTGGCTTTTGTCTGAAAGTCGGGTTTTGGGTCAATCATCAACTTATCCAGACTTATCCAGATGATTTGATGACCATCACTGGGGGTATAGACAAACCCATCTTTCAACTCCATTTTTTTTGGTTGAATCCACATAGCTAGAGCTATCTCCCTAGGCACCGTCCGAAATGGCCTCGCAAACCTACTTCGACCTGGTGAAGGCTGTGGAAATTGATGGGTGCAGGAGAGTTGCGGGAGATTGATCCACCGGAAGTGGGGATTCCAGACATATACATAAATGAATATAAATATATTGAAAATGATGTTAAAATATCATGAATCTAGAATGTGAAAAGACCACTCATGGCCTCATCATTTCATGAAAGCTTGACCAGCAGGAGGGTTGCCAGAGCTGTCACCAATGGAAGCATCATAGAAGCTTTCTTCATTCTAGCATCCAATCAAAGATGTTTTTTGCTGCGAAACCAGGCTATGTTTATATTTGGGGATGTGGTCAAAACCAGCTATGTATATTACCATATGTTGGGGAAATAAGATCCATTAACCAGCTATGACTTAGGCTTTTCCATGCGGATCCCTGCGGGTGCCTGCGGGTCCCATCCTTTTGACTCATCCCCTAGGCGTCGCCCAAAAACAAGAGCGGGCCAAGGGCTGAGATTCCAATTTTTGGCGTGGAAACAAACGAATCTGGGTGAGATTCCATGAGATTCCATGAGATTCCATGAGATTCCATGAGATTCCACTATTTAGTTGCAAGACATGAAGACTGGAGCAGTGGATTTGAGAAATCGCATGGAGCAGTGGTGGAACATGCTGAATTCCACTTGAAAAGGTGACGGGAAATGGCCGAGGAATGGGCAAAGATCGGCCTCGGTCGCTGCCTTTCAGAAGTTCTACAATGCGATTCAGGCCGTGGGTTGTTGACCCAAAATGGTGACAGGCTTTGTTGCCTGGTGGGTTGAAGACTTCAATTTTACTGCAAAAAACCACAGGAAAAAACTGCCAGCCGAATCAGTGCCTACCACGGGCTTGCTAGTGTGGCATGCCAATGCAATATGGTCGTGCCAACATTCACAGTCAAGTCACAGATCCTCAAATGTTCTACGACACCTCTTTTGCTACGACACCTGTATTGCATACAAAAGACTGGAAAATAGATGATATAGATGTAAATACTGTAGTTCTTGACACTGTGTAATACCTGTATATGTATATGTGTGTCTTGTTTTTGCATCCTTGGTGTGGATAGAATATCCCCAAATCTTTGAACGGTTTTTCGGTTGTGGATGGCCCAACCCAATATTCCACATGGGTATGGTCTGTCATCGAATTGGTGCCATTCTTTGTTTTTTTTTTAATCGGAAAACCTACAGGAAGCGATGCTATTTACGTATTTATCCAATTAGTATTTTAGGAAGTTCCTCTACATTTTTTCCCTTCATCCAAGTCTGAATGGGTGTGTCCGAAAACGGGGCATACCCTTAATTTCTGGCAATTTTGATAGACAAGAACGATGATTTTATCCAGTGGATATGGGGTTTTCCAATTTCAAAACCCAGCGGAGCCCTGGCCCAAAGCAGCAAAGTTGGTTTTTTTTAGGGGGATGGTCATGAATTCATAGGGATACCAATATGCCCATTACAGGGATACCAATTCATGGTGGGATAACCGAACCCCTGGAAGCTTGGCATGGTCAA